GTGACAACACAGGGTGCAGGCAGGCGCAGGAAACAGAATGAATAATGTTATAAATGAAAATTTGCCCAGCCAAATTAATATGAAAAATAAAATATTTATTCTGCAATCAAATTCTATCTAGCCAGCCACAAGGAAAGAACAGAGCCGAGCCCAGGGTTGGCCCTGGGTGTGCAACAAGGAGTCAGCCTCAGCAGAGGTTTTCCTCCATGCCCACACACTTCCATCCTGGCACAAGCGGTTTTTATAGGGAAAATTCCGCCTGAGGCCAAGATTTCAGCAATCAGTCTTTTCTTCTATTCAGAGTCTATATGTTAATAAGATTTTCCTTTTTGGTGATGAGGGAGAACAAATCAGTGTCTGGAGTTTGTTGAATCCCTTGATGAAATTTACAGGAATTCGGAACGCTGCATTCACATGTATCTGCCTGAGGATTTCCATGATATCCATCTTGGGTCATTCATGCGAACAATCAGCACCTGGGGTTTCTGTATCTCCCCAGCCATGGCCCATCTCCTGGCGAGCTGTACCTTCTTACTTGTAAATCAGTTTCCAATCTACACCTGGTCTCACCTGTGCCTGTGAGGGTGGGGGGGGAATCCTAAAACAAACATGTATACTCTAACAAATATTCAATATCACATATATCATATTAGAAATGGCGCTAATTATATCTACTACACATAACAAATAACATCAGATATTCAAACCTTCTTGCTGTGGAGAAAGCTGTGGATTCACAGTTCTTTGTGTAGGAGTGGCTCAGCTCCTCCCAAGTCTGAAGCCAGGACGCCCATCCCAGGGCCTCCCCTCCAGGCTGGGGCGCAGGGCTCCCAGTGATGTTCGGGCCAGGGAAAAGCCCAACAGTTCCAGGAAAAAAAGCCACAGGCCTGGAAAAACTTCTGGCATTGTCAAATAAAGAACGAAGGACCCAGCTAAAAGCACAGATGTACTCCCTCTGTCCATGCTGCACAACACAGCTGAGCGAGCCTGGGGGAGGATGTGTGAAAACCACACCAAAAGAATTCCACCAGCTTTCCACCCCTCTCTCAGACCTAGCTTAAAGTTACAGGATCCCTGTCTGGGCATTAGGCAGACAACAGGGGCACAGTATCATACTGCCACCCCAAGACAAGAACCAAGTGGCAAAAGAATTGGAGGCATAGTGTTGTGGTTGGATTTATTTTATTGATTCCTCGTTAAGTGGTTCGTCCTGTTGCACCCCCATGTTCTCCCTGAGTTTGTTTAGCCCTGGGCTTTACCCTCCCTCAAAGCTGTTCCCTATGCCATTCCCCACCCTTGGTCCAGCTCTTTCCCTGCCTGTCAAGGCAATCCACGCCTTGATTCCCGAACCTTCTGTGCCACTCAGACCTTGGGTCAATCCCTGTCTGCAGCACCCTTTGGAATTTTCCTATCCCTGGAAGCCCCGCTGGCACGTGTGCCCCATCCTCCCCACCCCCCTGCCCCAAGTGGCCCCAGACACTGGATGTGATCCCCTCACTCCTCCCCTGAGGATTCCCTCTTGGTTGGCTGTTTGCATCCGCCCCTGACTTGTATCTTTACTAAACCCCTGCACAGGAGTGCCTGCGGCTCTTTGTTTGAGCTCCCTTCACCTGGAGTGAAGTGTTCCTTGTGGAGCCTCAAGGCAGAGAGCCTCCTCCTTTCTCCTCTCGTGGTCCCTGTGGTGGCTTGTGTCTGGCACCTTAGAGCAAGTGCCTCTAAAGGTTCAGCCTCAGGTAAATCCCCATACCGAGGCAGTTCCCCACTCCTGGCCAGGCAGCGGAGTTGTAAGAGCTAGCCAAGCTCCGGCAGTCCCTTCAGTATGGGAAAAGGAGAATGAAGGGACCACTTTGCTGCAGTATGTGGGTGATCTTTTAATTGCTACAGGAACTCAGGCTAGATGCATTGAAATAATTCTCAGTTTCCTGAAGTTTTTGGGACAAGCCAGTTACAGGGTGTCCAAGAAGAAGGCCCCAAGTGCTAAGAGCATGTTCTATATCAGAGGTTCACCATTTCCCAGGGGCAGCAAAGCCTTGGAACCAAAAGGATGGAGGCAATTTGCCAAACCCCAGAGACAAGGTCTTTTTGCAGGTTAAGAACATTTCTAGGAATGGGTGGTTGGTGTGGGCTCTGGGTTCTTCATTCTGGCCTGTGGTAAGAGCTTGATATGTGGCCCTGAGAAACCCCCAAGGAGGTGCTACAGCAAGGAGCTGCTGCAGTGGACCCCAGATTGCCAGAGGCTTCCAGAGACCTCAAGAGAGCTCTAATGTCAGCCCTGCACAGGCATTACCTGACGTGACCAAGCCTCTGGAGCTGTTTGTTCACAAACACTGACATGTTGCACTACAGGTGTTAGCTCAGAGGCTGGGGACATGGAAAAGGGCCATAAGATATTTTTCCAAACAAGTGGACAGTTTCAGTTACCTGGTGAACTGGTGCTTCTCTGTAAATGAGGAGAAAAGTTGATCTAGCTGGCCAGTTATTTAAGTTAGGAAACCTTAGATCAGTGGACTGTAGTTTTACTCCCGTCCTTGGTAAATGTTTATCCTGCTATTGATGGTGTGGTTCCACGGACTTTGCTAAAATGAGCATCGTATGAGCCCACCAGGAGCTAACACTTCTTTAGCTGGCAACAGGATGAGAATTGAGAAATCAAAACCAAATTGAAGATAGAATATTAATTAAGGAAGAGAAATATGAAATTTATAGACAATGAGCATTAATTCCTTTGATAAAAATACATCCTGAAAAGTTTAGAGAGTGGGTGTGCATGCTGAGTGGAGCTATTCCCAGGCATCCCAGTGCTGGGAATGAAGTGATGCCTGATTCCTAACAGTAAAAATAGTGTAAGACAGTTGTATTTATCCCCATGTTTTCAGTGAGAGTGGGAAAAAGATCTGCCTGTCTTTCAGAAGATTTTTATTAATGGAATGAAAAATGATTTACTGACAACAATTGTGGCAGACTTCTCTGTCTGCTGAGAAGACGTCCCTGGTGGAGCACTGGGTTCCCAGTCCTGTCCGGCTACTTGAGGGCTGTGGAAATCTGACGGGGCTGGGCTGGCAGGAGGAGCCCTGGTGCCCTGGAGACGTGTCGGGGGGCAGTGCCTGGCCGGTGGTCCCGAGAGGTGGCAGGGCCTGGGGGTGAGAGGCAAGGGTGAGCCCCCAGTCCCCAGGGCTGCCCCGTCTGGCTCATCTCAGCCAGCCCAGGACGGGGCAGCAGGAGGGTCACCTGCTTGGCCAGAGACCCCCAGGGACCAGGCGCAGACCCAGCAGACAACCAGTCTCTTCTCCCCTCATCCCCGTGCCCTGACAGGGCCACACCTGGCTCATCCAGTGTCCTGGTCAGCACAGGAAGCTGGTCATTGCAGCCCCTCGGGATGTGTCCACCCCTGCCCAGCAGCTGGCTCACTCTGGGCTGGGAAGGAGAGAGCAGTTGGCTGAAATGCAGGGCCCAATTCAGCATTCCCTAGCAGCCCTCCCAAACCAGCTCTGCCCGAGGAAATTGAAGGCACAAATTCACCCTGGATCCTCAGCATCACACTGCCAGTCCGCATTACACATGCCATGTCCCCACCTTCTTCATCCCTACCTTGTTGGGAAGGGTGACGAGTCCCTGCAGAAATGCCTTGTTCCGGAGAGAATCCTGAATGGGGGTGAGTTTGAAACTGCTGCTCTGACGGTCCCCAGAGCTCTGTGGCACACGGGGGAACCTGCCATGGACAATCGGCCTCCTGTGGGATGGGGCAGAGGACACTCAGAGCCCAGCCCTGTGGCATCCTGAGCTTCAACCTGCTGTGCCAGGGAGGGGACAGGCAGTGCTGCCTGCAGGGGCATGTCCCTCCCAGCTCCTGTCCACCTGCTGCAGGAGCCCCAAGCAGGAAGCAAAAGCCTGTGCCACACCGGGAAAAGCCCTCCTTGCTGTGTCAGGGCTAGCCTGCACCCCGGGAGCTGGGCATGTGTCCTCAGGGCCCTTACCTTTGGCTGTGCGGTGGCTCCTTGCTGGGGGGCAGCGGTGGCAAATACGGGAGTGTCTCGGGGTACCTGGGGAGGGCAGGAGTCACAGCTGTGTGACAGGGGACAAACAACCTGTTCCTGTTGGAGGCAGCACCCCCAAACCCAGAGGATTGTACCCCATGGTACCCCGCTGCCTGTAGGCCTTGGGATGAGTGCCCACACCCCTGCTGCCGGCAGGGCTGCAGAGGGGGCTCCCCACATCAGGGCCTCCCAAGCAGACCCTGTCACCCTGTGCCCAGCACAGCGGTCACTGCTGGCACCCATCTCCCCCATCCCAGCCCCGCTGCCCCCGATGCACTGGTGCTACTCACTGGCCAGGGACCTGCACGGTGAGCATGCGGTCACAGGACAGGCATGTGAAAGGGACTGGCAGCTGCCTAAGGAGGGTGAGAGAAGAGGGCTGGGGGAGCTCCTGGGGCCACAGCCCTGCCCGCACACAGGCAGCAGCGGCTGGCAGCAGCCGGGTGCCGGGCAGGTCACTGCACAGGGTCACAGCGTTTGCAGGCTGAACCGTGGGCTCTTGAGCCTGTTTCTCCCCATCCCCAGCGTGCTGGCTGCTGCCAGCTGAAGGGCACAGGCAGGCATGTCACCATCCCAAGCAGCCCCTGCAGCACTTTCAGCCCCTCTCTGGCACCAAAGTCCCCTGTGTGCACAGCCAGGAGGGCAGGGCACGACCCAGCTCTGGGACCCTGCGTCCCACAGCCCTGCCTGGGAGGAGCAGTTGCCATCTCCCACCCTGGCTTCTGGGAGCTTTTGCACCCACAGCCACATTTTTCCTTTTGGAGGGCACTGTCCTGCAGGTGCCCTGTCCTCGTGCCTCCTTTCCTGCATGGAACCTGCTGCTGGTGGAAGGAGAAGGTGCAGCTACTTCATCAGGATCCCCATGGTTCATTGAGCAGCTGAATTGGTCCCAAGGCAGGGGAGCACACGGGGATCGTGTGGGTCAGGTGGAGGGAATGGGACCATTGCTGTCCCCAAAGCCTTCAGAATCTCCATCACACTCACTTCTTAATCCCAGCAGCGTTTTCACGCAACAGCCTGTTCTCAAGTTCCTCAATATTCCTGTTCCAGGCCTCGTCCAGGTGCTTACGGAAAGCCTTCAGCTCCAGGCGATCCAGCTGTGAACAGGTGCACAGCCTCAGCCAGCTGCCCCGGGATGTGACATGGAGCTCTCCAGGGAAAAGCCTGGAGGGGGATCCTCAGAGGGATGCTGCCTCAGGCTGTCAAGTCCCAAAGGTGCCAGTTTGTCGTTTCGGGGATGAGGAACCACTCACCTTCTCTTCAATTGCATCGCGGAACTGACGCTGCATATTGTTCCAGTGCTCCTCCTGGCCTGAAATCTGGCTCTGCAACTCCTGCATCCTCTCATCCAGCTCTTCCATGTTCTCTTCAAATTGGCTGCAATTGACTTTGCTGCCCAAGGCAGCTTTGTCCGCCTTCTAGCAGAGGGGAATGGCAGGAGAGCGGTGGGGAAAGGGATGAGGAACGACAGGTAGGGCCAGCGTGTGTGAGGGGCAGAGGGAGAAGTGCTTCCTCCAGGCCATCATGCCCCTTTCAGGGTGCTGTGGCCCCATTTGCCCCATCACCCTGGTGGGTTTGTTCCCACCATTTGGAAGATGAGGGAACACCAACATGCTCGGGAAATTCTCCCTCCCCAGGCCACTCCTGCCACCCAGCCCCCAAGGGACAAGGGGCATTTGGCACCCTGCCTGGAAACCCTTGGGCTGGCAGGGAGGCCCATTGAGACTGTACCATGTCCATTGCTTCCATCACGTCCTGCTCATTTGCCTTCTCCTTCTGAAGCTTCTCCAGAGACTGGAACAGCATCTTTCAGTACAAAAAGGAACCCATGACATCACAGCAAGGTTGGGGCACACCCCAGGATATGGGAGCATCGCCCTCTCCCCCTACACAAAAAACCTTGGCGAAAGGCGCTTGGAACAAGCACAGTGCTGGGAGGAGATCGTCAAGAGATGCTCTGTGATCCCTGCCCGGACACATCTTGGGGGATGCTTTGACCTAAAAAGGGTTTCAGCCACACACCGTGATTTCTTTCTGCTTTTGTTGAGAGTCCTTCTGGAGGATCCCTGAGGCTAAGCTGAGTTTCTCGTAGTCTTTTTGAATCTGCAGAAACTTGGCTTCCATGTGCTGGCGCAGCTCCTGATCCTGCTCCAGGGAAGGAAGAACATTAGGTGATGACCAAAGGGGGTCTGGCTGCTCCACAGGGCAGACCCACATGACTCAGCCAGTGGCCATGAGCTCTCAGTGTCAACAGGACGTTTGCATCAAGGCTTTAATCTGCGTCCATGCTGCTGACTGGTCCAGGCCAATTTGGGCAGTTTGGGCCTCCCCCACATTACAGCAAAGCACCACAGAGCATGAGGATGTGGCATGGACCTCCAACATGACCAAGCAAGGGGTGGTGGGAGTGCTGCCCCAGGACCTCACCTGCTCGTTCAGCTGGTCGGCTGTCTGAGTCACCATCTCCTCCAGCATGGCATTCCTCCTCTCCTGCTGCTCTCCCATCTTCTGCAGCTCACGTTTTGTGTCCTGACGCAAAGCCCTGGCCAGCGGGATGGGGACAATGTCAGGGTTACCCCTGCAGGGCTGCAGGGCACTGTGCTGTGCCTGCAAACCAGGATGCTGCCAGACCCCCTGGGCTCCCTTGCAGTACCACAGGGTATGAAACCCACTCCTGTCCTCTTACTCAATTTGCTGAGAGATCTCCTTCTTGCTCTCTTCTTTCCACTTGGCTGCATCCTCCCTCAGCTTTTTAAGGTCCTCCTCCAGCTTCTTCATCTGGAAAGCCAGTGATGGTAAGAGTCAGGGCACGGACATCCTCTGGTCCCAGCATGGGGGCCCTTCAGCTACATGGGCAGACCCAGGTTCTTCCACCTGGTCCTGAGACCCTGATCCCAAAGCCTGCTCTTGGAATCACATTGATGTTCCCCATGAGAGCCTAAAGATTACACAACCCAACAGCTCACTAAGGCAAGCGATTCCTTAATCTTCTTTATGTCTTCCTCCATGAGGATCTGTATTGTCTTTATCCTTTCCATCTCCTCCCGGAGAACCCGCATGAGAGCCATGTCCTAGGAGAGAGGAGTGGTGGCAGTGAGCCTGTGGGAGGGTCAGTGGACACCTGCAAGGCCCTGACCCCTGCTGTGATTTGTGGGGCCCTGGGGACAGCACAGGGCCGGGCTCAGCCAGGCTGGCAGGGCTCTGCAGGCAGCACGGTCCATGCATCTGGCAGGGCCAAGGGTACTGAGCCTCCAGCCAGCAGGGCCGAGGGTCCAGGCTGCTGTCTCAGACCCAAAACTTGCTCCAAGCAGCACTTCACCTCGTCCCGTGATATCTGGATCTTCTTCATTTCCCCTGCCGTATGACGCTGGGCAGCCTTTAACTTTTCAATTTCTTCTTGATGCTGGGACATAGCCATGGTCTAGGAGAAAGCATTGTCAGAAACAAGTCTCTGGAGAGTGAGTGTGGGAAATATGACCTTGAAAGCCACAGTGGTCTGCACAGACCTGTGTCTCCTGGAACTTCTTCATGTCCTCGGAGAGGTGGGAAAGTTCTGCCTTTATCCCACCAAACTCCTCACGAAGAACCTATGGAACAGTCCAACCAACAGGGATGTCAGGGGTGATGGCCAGGGCAGCAACACCCCAAAGAGCCCCACCCTGCCACGGGCAGCCCGTGGCAATCCAGGTGGGCAGGGATAGTCCCAGTGCCACCTGCCCCAGCCCAGCTCGGTGCCAGAGCACTGAAGCCCATCCAGGTGGCAAAGAGCCCCTGCCAGGGGCTGCGCCGGGGCAGTGAGGGCAGTGCCAAGCAGTGCTGTCTGAGGAAGCGGGGAGGGGCTGTCTGCTGGGGGAGTGCCCCGGGGGCTGGGAAGAGCCTCTACCTTGGACATGTGCTTCTTGTAGTCTTCCATCTCTTTCTTCATCTTTGCCATGTCAGTGGCCACATCAGCAAGTGAGGGGCCACTCAGCTGGCCCGGCCACGGCTCCTGGCTGGTCAGGTACTGCACGTCCAGGTGCTCCAGCACGGCCTGCAGCAGTTTTCGCATGGCTGCAAAGTGAATGATCCCCTTCTGGGGCGTCCCGATGGCGAGATCCAGCATCTGGGAGAGGCTGAGTGTGTCCAGAGATGCTGCCATGTCTGCACACAGTCAGTCCCTGCTTGGTCACAAGCCTTCCTGCCCAGCTGGGTCTGTCAGGGGTCAGCAAAAGCAATAATAAAAAGGATAAGTAGCCAACAGGCTTCTTCCTCCTTCCGTGTCCTTCAGAGGACTGGAGCCTGCTCAAATCCCTTTTCATCACAATTCCTGTTGCCAGGCTGCATACCTCACCACTGGGTCACAGACTCTTGAAGTCATAGAGTCACGGAATGGCTTGGGCTGGAAGGGACCTCAAAGATCCTCTCATTTCATCCCCTGTCAGGGACAGATAAAGGGACTTTTTCCACTAGACCAGGTTGCTGCCAGCTCCATCTAACCTGGTCTTGGACACTTCCAGGAACAGGGCAGACTCTGTTAAGGCATCACCATGCTGACAGAGAAGAGTTGCTTCCCAATATCCTACCTATCTCTCCCCTCTCTCAGTGTGAAGCCATTCCCATGCCAGGCCCTTGTGCCAAGTCCCCCTCCAGTCGTTTTGTAGTCCTTTTATCTGCTGAAATGGGATCAAAGGTCTCCCAGGAGAGAACAGCCTCATTGCTTTTCTTTTGGTCAGTTTAAGAGTTGCGTTTCATCTAAGCCAGTTCCTGCACTGCTGCAAACCCATGGCCTGGTTGGGAGCATCCACTGGGATCAGCCTTTGCAGGGGAAGCAGTGGGGTGCTGTTCCTCATGCTGGAGGTGCAGGAGGAACCCCGTGATCCCCTCGCTGAGCTATAGGGTTGTTGGGGCATAGACTCCTTTCTCCTCTGGAGTTCAGGGCAAAGAGTCTGCCTGGGTGAAGCCTTTGTACAATTCCCTCCAAGTCAGGTTTTATGTCAGCATGACAGTCCATAAAGAAGACAATGAAATTATTTCTCTTGCCAATGCCCCCAAGACTGTGGGGGAAGACAAACCAAGTTCTTCCCTCCAACACCTGCCATCTACTCCATCTGCCCCTTTTCCAAAACGTGCTCTGTTCACCCCTAGTCCTTCCTGCTTCAAAGCTCTACAGTAGGTTATCGGGCTTGCAGTTTATAACTTTTAATTAGTTTTTAAAATTAATCTTTAGAAGTGTAAGTCCACCTCTCGGCCAGCTGGTAGCTAAACTTCTTTCCACAGTGTGTTATTCTTAGGGTTTGATTGAGAAAATCAGGGAACCTTTTAGTTTTGCTAAACTAACACTTAGGAGCTTCAGTGAACAGAGCTGCAAAGTGGACATGTGAAATGCAGGGTTTATAGCCCTCCAAGGAGTTGTTGCAGAGACCATTAGACAATGAAGAGATTAATAAAGGCAATTTTATATATGCGGGATAACTCACTGCCTTGGAAAAAGATAATAAAGAGTCAGAGAAATGTGTGCTAATTAGGATGAGAAGCAAGAAAGTTCTAACCAAGAGAGGTTAGAATAATAACTAATGAAGAGAATTATGTGATTGAGAATGGACGACCATTGATTTCTTTGTTTGCTGGAAGCAGATAACTAAGTGAAAAGTTTTGTGCGTGTGTGTGTCTGCAACTATCTGCTCCACACGCCCTGACTGGCACAAAGTAATGCCTAACTCTCGTTAGTTCTGAAATATGCATTTTCACATCAATAACAAGGAAAGGTGGCCCAAGGCAGTTATGGGGCTCTCTGGCCGCCTAATGTCGACCGTGTATATCCCTGGCTAATGAACGCTAATTCCATTTGAGCCATGCACGATCAGCCCCAGGCTGCAGGACAGCCGGGGTTGCCTGGCTGGAAGCAGCTCTGGCTCCTGACAAGAGCTGTGGGCAAGGGGCTGCCAGGCAGTGCTGGGCCAGCCCCTCAGGCCGGCCCTCAGCGAGGAAGAGGAGGAGGAAGCTGACAACTGAGCTTGCAGCCTCCCCGTGCAGAGATGAAGGGACGAGGGCACTTGGGCGCCGGGGCTCGGGGCCGGCCGTGGGGCACGGCTGCAAGCGGCTCCTGAGTCGGCGCCAGGGCTGCCTGTGAGGATTTCAGGCGGCAGGCGAGAGCAGCAGCGCGGGCAGTGCCAGCCGGGCCCCACGGGGATCTGCCCGAGGCCGCCCAGCCCGGCAGGGCCGCGGGCTGTGCAGCGCTGCTCCTGCTGCCCCAGCGGGCCCGGCTGTCAGAGCTGCCCCGCGGGCGCCGCGGGACCAGCAGCAGCCTCAGGGCCTGGCCCAGGGCTCCGTCTGCTCGGCCTGGGGGCCCGGCCACAGCGGGGGCCAGGAGCTTAAGGAGCATCAGGGAGCCCGGGGAAGAGACAGGCTGCTGAGACAAGGCTCTGCCCACAGTTTAAGGGGTTTTATTAACTTATAATACAACTAAATACAACTAAATACTACAACTAAATACAACTAAAACATCATGTTTCCACACTGCAGTGTCACAGGCGTTTCTCGCTTCTGACGAGATGTCCCAGATGGAGCACTGGGCACTGAGTCCTTTCCAGCTGGCTGGGGGCTGTGGATGTCCGGAGGGGCTGGAGAGGCTGGACGAGCCCTGGTGCACTTGAGATGTGTCGGGGGGCTGTGCTTGGCCGGGGCCCTCGTGAGGCAGCAGGGCCTGGGGGTTGAAGGCCAAGGGTGAGTCCCTCATTGCCAGGGACTGCCCCTGGCTGGAGCCAAGCTCAGCTGCCCCATGAGCCAGTCCTTCTCCTCCATTCTGCTTCTGCCCCTTCCAAAGCAGGTCAGAGCCCCAAGCCCCATCCCAACCTGCTCAGCTCTGCACACAGAGCTCATCCCCCAGCTGGTGCCCCACAGATAATCAGCCCCCTGTCCTCGTTGACCCCCATGCCCTAACAGGGCCATACTTGATGCATCCTGTGTCCTGATCGCCGTAGGATGCTGTGTCCATCACTGTCCAGCAGCTGGGTCACATTGGGCTGAGGAGGAGAGGGCAACAAGCTGAAATGCTGGGCCCAACCAATCCAGCATCCCCTAATAATCCTCCCAATCCAGGTCTCCCTGGGGACTGAAGGCACAGATTCCCTCTGGATAGTCAGCAATGCCATCAAGCCTGAGTCGTCATTCTGTGTCCACCCCTTCATCATTCCTACCTTTTTCTGGACTGTCAAGGCCTGTTGCTGACCGCTTCTCTGTAGGGAAGCCCTGATGTTCTGCGTTGTGGAGCTGCTGTTCTGATGGTACCCAGATCTCTGTGGCACACGAGGGACACTGCCATGGACAATCGGCCTCCTGTGGGATGGGGCAGAGGGCACTCAGTGCCCAGCCCTATGGCATCCCGGGCTTCACCCTGCTGTGCCAGGGAGGGGACGGGCAGTGCTGCCTGCAGGGGCATGTCCCTCCCAGCTCCTGTCCACCTGCTGCAGGAGCCCCAAGCCCATCCCACCAGGCTGGTTCTGCTGGCTCTGTCCCCACAGCCAGCTCTACAGGCCATGGCCATAGCAGGTCCCTGTGCACAGGATCCCAGCAGGCAGGAACTGGCCTGTCCCAGCTGCAGGGCTGGGTTTTGGGAACTGCTTTCACAGGAGGCACACAACTGCCCACCAAGCCAGAGCTCAGATTGAAAACAGACACAGCTCATCAGATATGCTTTCAGCAACCTTGGGACATAGAGGTGGGCCAGACAGGGCAGTGCAAGTGGGGGACTGCATAACTCCCCATACTGGTGGGGAGGGTCCCACAAGTCTGTGGTGACATGGAAGGATCCTCATTCAGCAGTGAGAAGCCGACGTAAAGGTTGTGAAGGGCTGAGTTAGACTGAGCTGTCCTCAGGGCCTTTGAGGTATTTTTGGAACCAATCAATATTGCTACAGATTTGGAGTATGTGGCGGGTGTGGTACCCAGGGCAGAGCATGCAGTGCTCAA